GAATTGCTCGTTAGAGTTTAATGGGCTCTGATACCATGTTAAGAATTGGGGTTCCATCTTAAAAGGTCTACCTTATTAAGAGGAGTAACACAATCCTTTATAAGTTGGTTTATGTTTACATCTTTATTTGATGTGAGATTCTATCCTTTAACATAGCTAATCTTAAAAATAAGTTCAAAGTACTTTTTAAGTAATTTTTTCCTTTTATGGGGGAAGCAAGGTCTTCAGGAGGAGCTCTCCTTCAAGTGTAAAGTCGTTAAGAACATACCAATTCCTCCTGGAGCTTCTTATTTTGTTGAATAGCAGAATCTTTCTCCTCAGTCACCTTTGAGATCATAGACCTTGCCTATAGACAGAAGATATTCCAAAAATTACAACTCCAGTTTCAATAGGAAACGAGTAACAATAAGAAAAACTGAAGCAACAAAATCATGAAACATCTAAACTCAACTTAACTATACAGTCATCCAGAACAAAATAGCAGTAAAATGGTAACATAATACAAACAAAGGTAGTTTCATATTTTGCACAATAATGTACTAAACCACCATCACTCAGCTTATAAATAAAAAAGAAATACCTAGAAGGAAACAAACATCGACGCAGCCATTCCGGACATAATTAGAAAAACACGAGGAATCCTTTTGTATGGTGAATTAACTGCATGGTTTGCTAAGATTAAAAATTTACTTACCAGTAAATAAGTTTTAAGTAAATATATATCAAAGTTGGAAATAAGTTGTTTTGAAAGTAACCTCCACCTCATTCTTTAAAAAAAGGGGGGAACTTTTCTACTTATAAATTAGAAAAAAGTTAACAATCCAAAAATGTTTAGAAACAAAAAGTGACTTAAAAGAGTAAGTTTTAAGCTTCAGCAAACATTTTGTTAAGTCCATTAATAATGAAAGATTTAAAGCTGAGCCTCCATTCTAATCTAGAATGAAGAAACAAAAACGTCCTGTTTCAGCAGAATTTACGGAGGAATTTGCCAAAAACCAAAGAAGAAAATAAGAAAGCACCTGAATCTACAAAGTTTTCTACTAAACCAGATCGTGCCGATTTCACATTATATATCTTAATTATATCTACAAA